TTTTTACTAGATCTTGTATCTTAGGGTGGACTTGAACTCTTTCTGTAGCCAAACATGACCTCGGACTCCTGTTGCTCCTGCCTCAACTTCCCATGTTCTAGGACTAAAAGTATGCACCACTACACTTGGTGTTAAACATTCTTCAGCTTAAATATTTAAAAATTAAGCTTAACATAAAAAAAAAAACAAAAACAAAACAAGAACTTAAGGCAAGGTCTCTTTGTTATGCAGGCTTTCTTGTTGAGATTTGCTGAGACTGGGCCTCTATGCTGGTCATGCTGGCATGGTTTACTGTTGAATGTGGGCTAAAGCAGTTCTGTCTCAGCCCTCTGAAGTACATGCCACCATGCTGAGCTTATGGATAGTTTAACATATTCCACATTCATGCATTTGTCTGAAATGGGGTCTCATTAGGCAGCCCTCACTAACCTGATACTTATTACATAGACCAGGCTGGACTTGAACTCTGCATTCTCTTGCCTCAGTGACTCTTACTTAGTTTTAACAGAATTGTATGACCTCTCCCTGCCCTGTAGTACTTTTTGATCAATTCCTCTCCTCATTTTAGTGTGTTTGCACTTGAGCAATTCCTCCTATATTTCATACACCTGTTTTACCTCTTAACTCGGTTCAGAGTCCAGCTGGTTTTGTAAGCACATATATATGAAGAGCAGGACCTAAGCCATACTTCAAAGTATAGAACAAGGAATCTAAAAAAGATAATTTTTAATTTCCTAGATTGTGAATTTCAGAAAGTTAAGATGGATTCTGAGTGAGTTGGCTTTCACCATCTGGGTTTAAAGGGCTTTAGTCGGACTAGAGAGGTGGCTCAGAGGTTAAGAACACTGGCTGTTCTTCCAAAGGTTCTGAGTTCAATTCCCAGCAACCACATGGTGGCTTATAACCATCTACAATGAGAGCTGATGCTCTCTTCTGATTCTCAAGCACACATGCAGGTAGGATACTGTATAAATTATAAATAAATAAAATTTAAAGAAAGAAGGTGTTTAAAAAAATAAATTGTTTTAGTCACCTCTCCTGAGTTCTGTGGCAAGCACATTGGAACACTTGCTGTTATACCACAAGCTTAGCTTTCTTAACTTCAGGTTTGCTTTACACAGATAGCCAGTAATTACCAAACCTGGTTTTAATGGCATTTCTACACAGTGATACCTAATCTCCCATATGGTGATGGCTCTTTTCATGCATGGGGTCAGTCTAACTCCCCAGCTCATGAGATGGCAAGGAGGCTTTCACCCTCCAGACTTGTACCAAGGAACTGAAACAATCTATGCTGTTCCCCTGGTTAGAAAGTTGCTATGCCTCCTGTTTCCCAGAATATTAACAGAAAACCTTTGTCCTAACATGCTAAACCGTCACTGTCCTTCTACTTTATTTTTCTCAGAGCTTTCTCTTTAGTTGCTTATCTTGTTCTGTTTTACCTATAGTTATTCCAGGACTATTTTAACTCTATAGTGTTGCTTGCTTCACAAATCTGAGCCCTTATTAGTAAAATAATTAGAGAAAATAAGAGGTGCAGGCTTAGAGTTTTCAAAAACATATTTTATTTAGGGATCTTAAACACTTCTACCTCCCTTCCAACTCACTCACCAGAGATAGGGAAGAAAGAAGAGTGGTAGGAAAGGGGGTTGTAGACCTTTTTAGAAGTCATTCCTTGGGGTGAGTCCACTCTTTGCTGTCTGGATACCTGCAGTATAGTCCAAAGGCCAACACCAAAGAGCAACATGATTCAGCATGATTCAAAAGAAATAGGAAGACTCCACTGAATCAGAACGAAACTGCAAAAGCCACAAGACTCAGTTGGATTGCCCCAAGAAGTCCTCTGGAACAGTTCTCTCGGTGAAGTGTCGAAGAACACTACACAGGAATGGCAATCCAAAACAATGTTGTCTCACTGGGCTTCTCACTGGGCTTCTCCTGTTCACAGAGTCCACCCACGGATTTTTTTTATCTGGCCAAAATCCTGCCCCTTGCAGGAAACAGCTCGAAGCAAAACATCATGTGCCCTCTCACAAGACAGTTTCAAGGAAACATCACATGACACAACTGGGTCTTCAAAGAACCCCACAACTTCCACTTCAAAGAGATTAGTCATTAAAATAAAAATGGTGGCCATGCTTTCCTAACCACACAGGGTTGCTACTTAGCAAGTACCCAGCTAGAAAAAATGCTCTCACACATTAGCTTTCTCATCTGTGAGGCAATACAGTGAAGAAGGAAAATGTGCTATCTTTGGAGCCAGTCAGGCTTGCTCCTATGACTCAGCCTATCACGTCATAGCTCTGACTCCTTCACCACCCTGCATTACTGTTATGTAACAGCCATCTCAGGAATTAGAAGTATTTTTGATAGTAGTAAGGTGTCCATCTCAGATGTGGGAGATCCCAGCATTCTCTCTCCGTTATTTCTGCCAATTAGAGTGTCACCATTGAATTTGTTTGTTTGTTTGTTTGTTTTGATTAGTAGGAAAATGTGCTTTGTCCATTGAGCTAATTGGCATTCTTTACTTTGCTTATCATGTCTTTCTGTCCATCTGGCTACTATGTGTCAAGTGTGAGACAGAAAAAAGAAAAAAAAAAGGGGAAACAACAAGGAAAGGACAAACAGGCTCTGGAGTCACACAGGTACTCAGGACTAGAAGAAATCTTTCCCAGGTGGCCCTTCTCGTAACAATGCTTCATTTCCCCCAGATTGTAAATGTGATGTCCATCTCTGACACATTCAGTTTATTTTCTTCCCTTAACCAGATAAGTCTTGTCTCTGATATTATAGTCTACTGATACCGTATCAAGGATTGTATTTTTGACATTTAGGCATATATTGTCTAAAACTATATTCAAAAGGCAGATATACTAGGTCACTAAAAAAAATGTGGTTATTAAAGGAACCTTACAGGCAATATTTTGACTGTACTTACTGAGTTAGACTTGTCATGTTGGAGTCAAGTTCTAAAGTGTTTTAGACTGTAGACTGATACTCATCTTAAGTCTGTTGTCTATGCATTAAGTGTCTTAGAATGGGCAACATTTTACACTCTTGAGAAGGCATATATATGTGTGTATATGTGTGTGTGTGTGTGTTAAATTTTACAAAGACAAAATTTATATAAAGTGATTATATATGTATATATATAATATATATTATATAATATATAATATATATTATATATGTATATGTATATGTATATATATATATATGCTGGGCACAGTGGCATATGCCTGTAATCTTAGTACTCAGAGAGACAAAGACATGTGGATTGCTTTGAGTTCAAGCCCAGTCTGGTATAAAAGTGAGTCCAGGATAGCCAAGGCTGTCAGGGTTTTGAAACCCTGTCTCGAAAAATAAAATGAAACAATATATATATCTGGGTCTTCTATTCGGTTCCATTGATCCTCCTTTCTGTTTCTATGCCAATACCATGCAGTTTTTATTACTATTGCTCTGTAGTACAGCTTGAGATCAGGGATGGAGATACCTCCAGATTACGGGGTAAGATGATCAATCCTCACTTAGAAAGACAAATGAGATGTGCATTGGACGTATGACAGGAGTCTACCACAGAAGGCATCTGAAAGACTCTACCAAGCAGCGTTTCAAAACAGATACTAAGACTCATAACCAAACCTTTGGCAGAAGGGGAGTTAGTATGACGTGGAAAGGATAGGAGCCCCACAAGGACCCAATATATCTGGGAACAGGTTTTTTTTCTGAAACTGTTTCTCCAACCAACGACCATGTATGGATATAACCTAGAACCTTTGCTTGGACGAAGCTCATGGTAGCTCAATAACCAATTGGTTTTCCATAGTAAGGGGAACAGGGACTATCTCTGACAGGAACTCAAGGGCAGGCTCTTTGACCTCCCCACCTCCCAAGGGAGGAGCAGTCCTGCAGGCCACAGAGGAGGACTTTGTAGCCAGTCCTGAAGATACCTGATAAAACAGGGCCAGACAAAAGGGGAGGAGGTCTACCCCAATCCATGGACTTGGAAAGGGGCAGGGAGAAGCTGAGGGAGGGAGGGTGGGATTGAGAGGGAATGAGGGAGCGGGATACAGCTGGGATACAGAGTTAATAAAATGTAACTAATAATAATAAACAATAAAAAAAGAAGCAATATATATATGTATACACACATATATATTTAGGTTAAATTTTACAAAGATGCTCTGCAACTTATTGCATTACAACTATAGTATGTATATAGCAACAGTCTACCTGGGCACCTAGTGATCCCTAGAAAAGAGTTTAATGTTATCTGTCTCTTGGCTAAGCATCTGTAAGCATGAACGAGTGGTCAGTTCACTGAAGCTACTGTAAGGTAAATGAATAGTCTGAAAAAGGGACTCGATCCTAGATTTAAAGGGCAAAATTAGAGACGATATAGTCAATGTACCATTAATTCTTATGAAAATAAAGGACCTAAAAATCTTTAACATTTTACCCAAAGTCAGAGAGATGTTCATTGATGAGCTAGTGTTCAAACCCAGCTGCTGATAAAATAAAACTTGGAAACCTTCAGTACGTTTTTGTCATTGTGTGAAGAATGGTGCTAAAATAGTCTTAAGTGAAAAACTTACCATAGTTAATTGTCCCTTTTTGAGAAAGAGAAATTGTTAGCTTTCATGACTCCTGAGGCTAAAAATACAATAGGCTTATTATTTCATCTTCCTTCATTCTTATCCAGTAATCCACCTCCTTCTGTGAGGGTAACGCTGCTTCTAGAAGTATTTTCTCTGGTTTCAAAGAATCACAGAAGTAGGATTATACAAGTAGGGTTTCTACCCTAGCATACCCTGGCACTTTTCTCATGGCATAAATTCCTTGATGAAGAAGCCTTCAAGCAGATCCCCTGTCCTCTAGCCAAGGTTTCCAAGATTCTGAAAGGGAAGAGAGACAGTGATTGAGAAGACGAATATCCTCCTAGAGACAATGAATTTCTGTATTTAAATTTTTTAAAGTGGTAATACTTTGTATTACAGACCTTTTCAGAGGCGATTAGATTTAATGTGGACTATGGAGTGTTTGAAGTAGTTAATGAGGCACCACAACTTCTGGAAAAGCAACTGAAAAAAATTCTGCAAAACCAGCAACCTCGAAACCCCATCTATGAAGTTATAAGGAAAGGGAAAAGTGATGCTAAGCCTTTTCAGAAGAGTGTCCCCTGTGAAGATGAGGCCATTAATATCAGCTACACCATCATGGTGAGCCAGTGTGTTTGAGTCTCTGTCTTGTAAGATCAATAAAGCGTTTCTTGAGCTGGAGAGATGGTTCAGCAGTTAAGAGCATTTGCTGCTAAACCTGGCTTTGATTCCCGACACCCACACCATGACTCGGAGCTGTCTGGAACTCCAGTTCCAGGGAATCCCTGCCCTTTTCCGGCCTCCATGGTGGCAGGCAGGCACATGGTACACATACATACATTCAGGCAAACCACTCAGACACAGAAAGTGTTTGGTGGGGTTGGCACGCAGTACCTTAGGCTTCAATTTATGAAGTACAGTCACATTTATTAGTGTGTTGTACTTACACAGGGTGTCTTTTAGACACAGCGTCATCTGTACACATATAATGGCCAGTTTAGTCTAACAGTTTTGTTGATTTTTATCAACCAATATAAGAAGGGTCATGTGTTTTGCCTTGAATGTGTAAAATGTCAAGTGCATTTAGGATACTATAAATATGTATATTCTTTATAGTTTAGCTTCCTTATAGGAAATAAAGAAAGTTTATTTCTTTTGGGGTCTTTAAGCAACCCTGTTTACAGTTGGGAATTGAGGTGACTTTGAAGCCTCAATATATCCCCTGGGACTCTGACCTCCTTGGCTTTAAATTCTGGTATCAAGTGCTAGTTTTTGTCTCTTGCTTTAGGTCAGCAAATCTATATTCAAACCTGACTGAGTCCACTAGCTGTGTGTCCTTGAAAAAGTCACAGGGTGAACCTTGTTTTCATCATCAGCCATGCTTCTAACCACTCCATAGGTTCAGAATGTGGGTCAGTGACAATGACAAAGATTATTTTAAAATGCTGTTTTAGAGGTAGAACTAGGCTGCAAATATGTCTGTTCATAGCTTCAGACACCTCTGCTCCAACTCTCCTAACTTCAGATAGAGTTCTCATCTTTTATCTTCTAGCACAGGAAATGCTAACAGTAATCACATGGGAGTGCTGTTTATTTCTAGGGTAGCTTGGAAAAATTGAACCATATAAATTATCAGCTAAGAGTTTTCTAACAAAGTCTGCAAATATTTAGTAACAACAACAATTAGTAACATATCAATAATTACATTAAATGTAAATAGTCTAACTATCTTTATTAAACATTAAAGTCAGATGGAATTAAAAAAGAAGAATCAATTATTTGCTGTTTGTAAGAAACCAATCTGAAGTATCAAATAAATACATTAGAAGTAAGAAAGAATACGTCATGTAATTACTAATTAAAGGAAAGCTAGGGTGATTATATTAGTATCAAAGTAGCCTTCAGAACAGGATTCCTACTATGGATAAAGAGGGATATTACACAGTAATAAAATGTCAGTTTATAGAAAACCAGATTTAGTGTGTGTGCACTAACCACAGTGGTTCAGAATACATAAGAGCTAATCAAATATAAGGAGGAAATAGCCAAAGCCATAGTTAAGTTAATTAAATGTTTTAATGATATTAAAACATTGATCTTAGTATTCAGTTGAAGCTGTGGATCATAAGGGCAGGAGTTCAGGATCTCACCAGCAATGAAGCCAACCTGTTAAAGCCTATAAATACTTTACCCCACAAAGCTAAAGCACATGTCCTTTTCAAAGTACACTTGGAGTGATTCCCAAAATATATATTATTCTGGCATTAAAACAAATTATAATAACTAAAAGAAACAATGCAATATATATTATTGATCAGCCCAGAATTAAACCATCAATCAAGAAAACTATGGAAAAGTCTCCAAATATTTAAAATAATTAAGGAACATACATTAAATAACCCATAGGTCAAAAGATAAGTCTCAAAATAAGAAACTAAAATAAACTGTCACAACTTGGGATGTAGCTCCATTAGTCATTAAAGATAAATTTATAGAAATCTGTCTTTAACCATGGGAACAAAAACCCCAAAACAAACAAACAAACAAACAAAACCAAGAAAGATAAGTTAGCTGAGACTCACAAAAAAGACAAAATAGCATACCTGTGACCTCCTGTGCTAGATGACAACAATGTACTCCATGCTCATGACCCTGACCCACACTGCACCTCCGTGCCCAGGCCTGTGACCGCACACTGCACCTCCGTGCCCAGGCCTGTGACCGCACACTGCACCTCCATGTTCAGGCCTGTGACCGCACACTGCACCTCCATGTTCAGGCCTGTGACCACACACTGCACCTCCATGTTCAGGCCTGTGACCACACACTGCACCTCCATGTTCAGCCTGTGACCGCACACTGCACCTCCGTGCTCTATGCCTTTGCTGGGATCAAACCCATGCCTTCATGCATTCTAGACAAGAACTCTTTAACACTACCCAGAAGATGACTTTCTTTTTGTGTTCTCTAAACAGTGTCTCAACCGTGAAGAAGGTATTAAGTGGATCAAAAGAAAACGACTTCCAGCATTTCTGGAAAGTGACTGCTACTTTGAATACAGGTACCCTGCTGCCATCTGTCTGTTTGCTTCATATTTTTTAATGATATTCATTGGAGTTGGGGCCTATCTGCCATTGAATATGAGTGATAATTCAACTTTTTCAAGGAGATTTCACAAATGTATCTCTTTGATCATTTTATTCTAAAATTTATGTGACCCTCATGGTGTTTATCATACAGGGGGTTACAAAGGGAATTAAAAACAGAATCTGGGGACCTAAAGAGATGTCTCGGCAGTTAAGAGTACATGTTCTTGTAGAGGAGACAGGTTTGATTCCCAGCATCCACAGGACTCCAGGTCCCAGGAATTGGACGTCTCTCATGAACTCTAGGGACACCAGGCATGTATGTGGTACATATTCACACATGCATGCAAAACATAAAAGTAAATGATTTCTTTTTAAGTTTTTAAAAACACAAGATTTCACTTTGGAAATCAATCTGGCACTTTCTCTGAAAAGTAGAAATAGTGCTACCTCAAGATCCAGCTATACCACTCCTAGGCATATATCCAAAATATGCTCAAATATACAACAAGGACATTTGCTCAACCGTGTTCATAGCAGCTTTATTCATAATAGCCAGAATCTGGAAACAACCTAGATGTCCCTCAATGGAAGAATGGATACAGAAATTGTGGTACATTTACACAATGGAATACTATTCAGCAATTAAAAACAAGGAAATCAGGAAATTTTCAGGCAAATGGTGGAAACTAGAAAAGGTCATCCTGAGTGAGGTATCTCAGAATCAGAAAGACACAGAGTACTAAACATATAATATAGGATAAACATACTAAAATCTATAGTCCTAAAGAAGCTAAACAGCAAGGAGGACCCTAGGGAAGATGCTTAATCTTCATTCAGAAGGCCAAACAGGATAGCTATCAGAAGTAGGAGAAAACAAGGAACAAGAGCTTTCCACAGAGAACCTCTGAAAGACTCTACCCACCAGAGTATTAAAGGGGATACTGAGACTCATAGCTAAACTTCGGGCAGAGTGTCAGAACCCTTTTGGAAGAAGAGGGAGACAGAAAGACCTGAAGGGGACAGGAATTCCACAAGGAGAACAACAGAATCAAAAAACCTTGGCCCAGGGGGCCCTGCAGAGACCGATACTCCAACCAAGGGCCATGCATGAAGAGGACCTAGACCCCCTGTTCAAAGGAAGCCCATTGGCTGCTCAGTTTCCAAGTGGGTTCCCTAGTAAGGGGTACAGGGGCTGTCTCTGACATGAACTCAGTGGCTGGCTCTTTGATCTCCTCCCCCTGGGGGTGCAGCCTTCCACAGAGGAAGATGATGCAGCCAGTCCTACTGAAACCTCATAGGCTAAGGTCAGATAGAAGGGGAGAAGGACCTTTCCTGCCAGGAGACTAGGGAAAGGGCATAGGGGGAGAAGAGGGAGAATGGGTAGGACTGGCAGGACACAAGGGAGGGGGCTGCAGTGGGGATACAAAGTGAATAAATTGTAATAAATAAATATATAAATAAAATTAAATTTAAAAAGAAAGAAAAAAACACAGTGTGAGGCTGAGGTTTTCCTTTTCAAGTGTGAACATGGAAAATCCCAAAATTGTGAACCTTGCCTAGAATAATAATTTTAAATAAAATACAAATGGAAAAATGTGAACACCTACGGGAGTATGCTTTTGTTAATTTGTGCTTTCCGCAATACAGGTTAGCCAAGTTGATCTCACAAGCAACATGGAGCAACTCAGGTATAAATTTCATAGTAGGTACAAACCTTTCCCCCTGGATCCTGAGAAAACCACACACTCCACCTCTTTCCACCACCGAAGAGGAAGATCTCTTGATTATGAAAAAGTTCTACGTTTCTCTTGGCCAGGTAAGGTGAAGAGGAAGGCTTCTTTTGTTTGTTTGTATTTTATTTTTATTTTTAATTAATTTATTTTTTTATTAATTATAGTTTGTTCACTTTGTATCCCAGCTGTATCCCCATACCTTATCCCCTCCCAATCTCACCCTCCCTCCCTCATCTCCCCAAGTCCACTAATAGGGGAGGTCTTCCTCCCCTTCCCTCTGACCCTAGCTTATCAGGTCTCATCAGGAGTGGCTGCATTGTCTTCTCTGTGGCCTGGTAAGGCTGCTCCATCCTCAGGGGGAGGTGGTCAAAGAGCCAGCTACTGAGTACATGTCAGAGACAGCCCCTGTATCCCTCACTAGGGCACCCACTTAGACACTGAGCTGCCATGGGCAACAACTGTGCAGGGTTCTAGTTTATCTCCATGCATGGTCCTTGGTTGGAGTATCAGACTCAGAAAAGACCCCTGTGTCTATATATTTTGGTTCTGTTGCTCTCCTTGTGAAGCTCCTGTCCCCTCTAGGTCTTTCTATCTCCCCCTTCTTTTATAAGATTCCCTACACTCTGCCCAAAGTTTGGCTATGAGCCTCAACATCTGCTTTGATACCCTACAGGGTAGAGTCTTTCAGAGGCCCTTTGTGGTAGGCTCCTTCCTGTTCCCTGTTTTCTCCCTCTTCCTATGTCCATCCTGTTTGCCTTTCTGAGTGAGGATTGATCATCTTACCCAGGGTCGTCTTCCTTGCTCAGCTTGTTTAGGTGTACAGATTTTAGTATGTTTATCCTATATTTTATTTTATATTTTATATCCACTAATAACTGAGATATATCATATGTGTCTTTCTGTTTCTGGGATACCTCACTCAGGATGACCTTTTCTAGTTTCCACCATTTGCCTGAAAATTTCCTGATTTCCTTGTTTTTAATTGCTGAATAGTATTCCATTGTGTAAATGTACCACAATTTCTGTATCCATTCTTCCATTGAGGGACATCTAGGTTGTTTCCAGATTCTGGCTATTATGAATAAAGCTGCTATGAACACGGTTGAGCAAATGTCCTTGTTGTATATTTGAGCATATTTTGGATATATGCCTAGGAGTGGTATAGCTGGATCTTGAGGTAGCACTATTCCTGATTTTCAGAGGAAGTGCCAGATTGATTTTCAAAGTGGTTGTACAAGTTTACATTCCCACCAGCAATGGAGAAGGGTTCCCTTTTTCCACATCCTCCTTAGTATGTAGTGTCACTTGAGTTTTTGATCTTCGCCATTTTGATGGGTGTTAAGGTGAAATCTCAAGGTCATTTTGATTTGCATTTCCCTGATAACTAAGGACATTGAGCTTATTATGAAAAAGTTTTATGTTTCTCTTGGCCAGGTAGGGTGAGGGTTTTCATGGCTCAGCACCAAGAAAACTTTTGTTTCAGTGTCAAGGGACATCAGTGTCAAGCAGTCCCTGACCCCCTGCCTAAGCAGAGTCAGGTTTCTTATGGGTTCATGCTGACTTGTTTGATGTTTTACCAGAAATGTAAATAAAAGTTCTTCCCTTATGTATACGAAGTAGCAAACTGAGATTGCTCTGTATCACCTATGAAGAAAGGGCATTAGCATTATATTCTGAATTTGTTATTATAGGAATTCAATTACTTTTTTTTATAAAAGGTATTGGGTGTTGTCTAGGTAATACTTAGTTGTAAAAATACATTACTATTTAACTGTTATTGTGTAAGTGTGGAGTCATCGTGAGTGACTTAAATAAATACAACCTAAAATCAATTGTCCTTTTACATCATCTATAATATAGTGAGAATTTGTTTGTTTGTTTTGCCTTCAGTTACCAGATCTTTCTTCTTGCAACACACCAGAATACACAAGTCTGTATGAAATCTGGGCTGGCAAGCATGTGGCCCATGTGTGCTATTCTTTTATTCTTCATCTATGGCAGACACTGCCAGTCAGTTGTGGCCATTTTTTCTGCTTAACTTGATCTGGGCTTCAAATTCTTTCAACTGAATGTTCTACATCCACAGCTAAAGGAATCAGATATAAAGAAGCTATTGGGGCCTCCTGTACTGAAACAGATAGAGCTATGTTGCTTGAACATTTATTTTTTCATTTTGTCATATCACACCTACTTACTTTTGTAGCCTGGGCAATTTTCCAGCTATATTTCCCAGCTACATATTCTCTGCTGAATAATGCTTTGTTGTATTCAGATCGCAAGACCCCAAAAGACCACCAGAACTCAAGTCCATTGCAAAACACATGAGGGTTTATTGGATACTTGCTCAGCCTGGATCACAAACCTTCCTGTGGGAGGTCTAGGGAAACAAGATTTTTAAAGGGAAAAACCACAATCAGGGAATTACATGCCTTGGCATTACACGATTGGGTAAGGGAAGTTGACTTTTGAAATGATTGGTTTACTTTAGGCGCCAAGTCTGTAAACGGTTCTGACCTGGCCACCTAAGTGGGTTTCCAGGGACAGAGTGGCCCAAGTTAATGTTGGATGAATTTATATTTATTAAAAATAAATAATGTATGTAAGCCAGGTATAGTGGCACACCTGTATACTTGGGATGCTGAGGCAGGAAGATCTCAAGTTGAGAATAAGGATGACCTGGGCGGCCTAATAAGTTTGAGACCATCCAGAGCAATATATAGAGATACACTATTGTACAAAACTCAAGCGAATAAATAAGTAAATGAAAAAGACAATGGACCTACATTAGAGCCTTCACAGCATTCACCCATTCAAGGAACCCGCGGCCACACAGAAGTTTCCTGTCATATTCCCTTTCGTGTATTGTCTTGTGTGGCCTGATTTGCTGTGTGGAGTGGGTACAATAGACAAGGGATCCCAACGCTTCCATATGAGCCATTTCTCTCCCATGAGTCAAAGATTGAGTAGCAGGCTGACAAAGCTGCTGGAAAAGGAGGAATGGGATGGATGCTGGGCAGTCCCTCTTTCCCCTAGATTTCCAGGAAATGTAAGAGAGAAAAATCCTTTTTAACTTTCTAATATTTTTTTACCCTTTGATAATTATGTATTTCAATCATTTCATTCCAACCCTTCTTTTATCCCCTCTCCCTCTGGAACCCTCTCCAACAAGATCCCTCCTACTTCCTTGTGTGGGTGGGTGGGTGGTATGTGTGGGTATGTTTTAAGAAAAGCAACCATTGGTTTTCTCACATGTGCATTAGTATGAGGTTATTTGTTATCTCATGAACACAGCTTATTAGTGGCTATAACCCCTGAAGAAAAATGAGCCCCGCCCACTAGTCACTAACTGTCAATATCTCCTCAGCTAGGAGTGGAACCTCATGAACCAACCCCTCAAAGGCTGTAGTCCTTCTACCTTCTAGTCCTTCAGCTCAAAGATTGGGCCAATTGGCTTGGAGATGCACAAAGCAGAGTTTCCATTGTTTTTAAGTGTAAACTTCTTTTCCCTGAAAAGCAGAGATATTTCTGCTTCAGAGGGCTTTTGAGGGTGAGATTAAGGGAAAAAAAAAGCCTTGGGGGCCTTCCTTGGCTCAGGTAGAGTAGGAATCACTTGTGTGTCATTGAGCCCAAGCAAAGTTGTGAGTCCAGCCTGGGCACAGATGTGGCTGAGCAGGGACAGGTCCCCAATGGTCTTGAGAGTGACACGGGAAGAGTCAGAAAGGACACAAATCAGACCCCAAGGTGGTGAGGATGTGGGCTGGTCTGTGCAGCAGTAAATGGAAACAGCGGGAAGGGCCATCAACATCGTCATGATCTGCCAGGGCCTGGAGTTCTGTGCTCACTGTGGCCATGGGTGGGATGGAGAGGAGCGTGGCTGGTTCCAGGCACTCTGTGTGCTGGGACTGAGTCTGGGTCCTCTGTAAGAATAGAAAGTGCTCTTCACTGCTGAGCCGCCTCTCTAGCCTCCTTTTCTTATCTGCTGAGGTTTTAGTACAATTTTCTTTTAATAAAATAACTTCCCTTGCACATTATAGTTTATAAATTGAATTATAATTTTTTCAGAGTTTCAATTGGCAGAATATTGTTAAGCTTATGTTAATTAATGTCTCTTTCTTCCTAGGCCTCCTATACTCAAACAAAAGACTGGTTTACACTAGCAAAGCAAAGTCAGAAAACAGTAACGACTTTTTCATTGCCTTGCTCTGGACCCCACCAAAAAATTGCATCCCCAGCTGTTTCCGGTAAGCAGTCAAAGATAAGGCCAGCCTTCACTTATCCACAGCCCCTGCCTCCCTTCCACTTTCTAGTGCTGTTTGTTTGTTGCTGCTTGATTTTATTTTTTTTTATTGGTTCTTGTTGTTTTTTAAACAGTCTCATTATGTAGCACAGGCTGGGTTTAAACTTAAGTGCTGCTGCTTCAGCTTCCTGTGTGCTGGGATTACAGACATGTGCCACCACCCCAGCTCGATTCTGTTTCAAAAAGTCGATATGATAAAATGAAGGTGGTTGGAACTGAATTCTGATATTTATTAATAGTGTGATTTTGTTTTCTGAGATAGGCTCACTATGTGCAGTCCAGGCTAATTGCAGACTCACTCTGTGTCTCCGGCTGGCTTTGAAATCGTAGAGATCCTTCTTGCCTCAGCCTCTGCTATGTTGGCATGGCAGGCCTTCATGAGCATGCCCTGCTTTTAGCTGCATGGTTTCTGTAATGAGTTATCCACTTGGAATCTTGCTTTATTTCTTCTGCCAGGTTAAATTAATTGTGTATAGTAAATGTACCCTAGAGCTTGTCACACTTTCTGCAGCCAGTGACTGTCTCATCTTTATTTCTATTACACTTTAAAAATTCCTACTATAAAGTCTTTGCAATAAAGCAGGTACAATAACATTTCTGACCTAAAAGTAAATAGGGTGGGATCTTTGGAACATGCTAGAATTCTACCCCTCAGGAAGCCAAGGCCAGAAGATTTTGTTTCAAAAACAACAGCAACAAAATGGAAATAATCATTGGTAGAAATTGAATTTGTCTTCTATGTTTTAGTCTAGACTAATTTCTGTGTACTTCCCACTGTTTCTCCATGTACTCACATGGAGATCTAGAGCACATGAGAGTGAACAAAAAGGCAGGCTGGCTGGAGGCAGTGGGCAAGAATACCTTGCTCTCTGAGCCCACCCCCTTCTGTCCCCTTTCTATGGGATTGAGGTGAGTCCACCCAGCCACTCTGTTTTATGGGATTGATGTAAGAGTGCTCTATCTCTTCGAAGGTGTACAGAGTTGGGGGAAAGTTGTTATATTCATTTTCAATACAAAATTATAATGAAGTGTTTCAAGTCCATGGAATTTCAAATGTGGTTAGAGAAAGCTACCAAAGCACACTGATGACAGACAGTTATCTCATCTGTGGAGTTCGGAGGAAAAGTAGACATGTCAAACTTTCATAGTTCCCTGAGTTCTGAAAGAGAATATAAGAACCAACACTCTATTGTATAGAAGGGAAATGTAAGCTTTTATAAGTCCCTATGTTATTTGTCACTTTAATGATAAGAACTGAATGCATGATAGTTTTTAAAGCCTTCTTATAAATATTTTGTATGTCTGCCAGAAGACAAAGTTAATTCCTTTTGTCGGTTTTCCCCTCATGGCCTCCCAGCAAAGCTTGAGAATTGTTCTGAAGTCGTTATTCCCTGTGACTGTCCCATTTGCCATTCTCTATAGCACCTGTCTAACAGTGAATGAATTTGTGTTCATATTAACCTATTAGCCTTTTATAATTTTATGCAGAGACTTTTATCTTTGATGATGGAGTTCACCCCAGGAGAGCAAAAAGCCCATCTAAAACCACTACAATAATTCCCGAGATGGAAGAAGAAGAAGAAGGGTCTGTATCAGTAAAAGACACACCTTCTCAAGCTCTTCTGAGAATCTACCTTGAAAAGAAGGACGACCAGGACAGGAACCTGATAGTGCATTTCTCATCGGTTGAAGAATTCCTAAACACCTATATACTCTTTATCTTGAAGGAAGCCATTGAGCACATCAGTGGCCATTCCTTTAGTAACAGTCCAGGCTATATCAACTTCTACAACGTATCCCAAGTGGCATTTGATATTGCCAAGCCTGTGCCTATCAGGAAAGTCGTAAGTTCTCCCCATGTTGAAACCGTAAAGGAAATGTCAGAAGATAAATTGGAAACAGTAAGTTTAAGTTCAAAGAGTGAGAGTGTTGGGCCCGAGAGCAGGGCTGACTGGTGCATTTCTCACAGAACCTATGACATTGGCAACAGAAGGGAATTTGAAAGATTTAAGAAGTTTTTAAAGGGCACATTAGGGGAAAGATACTGGTGGCTGTGGATGGACATCGAGAGGTTAAAAGTTCTTAAGGAACCTGATAGACATCAAAGGTATTTTCATTTTTTAATAGTTTAAAAAATAAATTATAGAATATTTATTTGAGTTACTCAAGCACAAATATTAAAATGTACTTTATACACTGTGAGGGATAAAACAATGACATTTATTTTATGGTAATACATTTTTATCTCAGGTTTTTTGATTACATAGCTTTAAGATACCAATAATAATAGTTATTTGGGTTTGAATGTTTCTCCTATTCTAAAATTATTCTACTTCTTATAGTTTCATAATGGTATAAAAGTTTTATACAAAAAGCAAGTTGTGAGCTACGTGACCACACTCACATTAGACAGGTACGACTGGCAATGTGTGGGCCTTTTGTCTCATCAACCTGGCTGGCTAACACATTCTGTGGTCCTTAGTCGGATGCCACATGGCTGTCTGTCTATACTGAGTCTCTTCTGATGGTCTGATGGGTGCAACACTGTGCTTTCCCAGCTCCGTGTGCTCCAGGTCACGGTGAGTTTATCCTAACAGGGCACCCCTTTAAGAGAGCCAGAAAGCTGCCATGTCGGTAGGCCCCATCTAACCCAAAGCAGGTTAGCCTGGATTTCTTCCAGGCATGGTGTAGATCTGGCTTATTATAGTTATTAGAAAAGTATTTGGGTCACAGCCTATTCATCAAATAGGGCTCTACACATGGTTGATTCTGAGGCCTGACTTGATTTATATCTGTAAGACACATCAGAAGAATTGTATGCAAGAAGTCTTGGGATTTTCAGGAACAGTACCCTGGACCTTCGTTGTCTATACAATGAGTTATCCATATTTAGTGAACTAAAGTGACATCTATTTCTTTACATTTTCCTGTTTATGGAGGGAGACTTCCTATACTCCTTAGTTTATAGCCCCTTCCTCTACTTACAAGCAAGCAGCATGACATCTTAGCTTTTTTCTGATGCTCCATTACATCTTCGTGGCAGTGGTCCCCTGTATAGAAGGATTTCTGGAATTCCCTTGGGACCTATGGGTTGCAGGCTGATTTCTTTCTAGTCCCCACTTAACGACATCTGCTTTCTCTTTTATAAATAACAAATTTACAAAGTTTAGAGACTAAGGTATACACAGCTCTATGAGGCCATCCAGCCTGTTGAGAAAAGCAAACACCCTGGGAAATAATCTATGTCTGCAAAACCCTTTAGTACTTTGTAATGAGTATAGGTTGAGGTATTCATTACTTGTCTGAAACATTTACATTTAGAAAGTTGAATATTATATTGATGTGTATATAACTGTGTTTTAACAAAGACATCTTGAGAAAATGAAAAAATGCTACCTTGTGAGCAGTGGGGAGCGTTACCTTTCTACAGAAATCTTGTCTAAGTTTAAACTGCTACATGGATCCCGGTGGACAGAAGAACATTTGAAAAACATTCAGACTGAGGTACTAAAACCTCTGCTTCTGTACTGGTAAGGAAAAATAATGTGAATTAAAGTAATTTTCTTTTACTTTTTTAAAGCTAGTTATAAATAATACCTTTTGTCTTATGGTTATATAATTTATAGAAACTGAACATGACTAGTTCTTTGAAAAGTATTTATGTTTTTAGATACTTGATGTAGTAGTTTGAAGAAGAATGGCCTCCATAGTCTCATATATTTTAATGCTTGGTCACCAGGGAGTGAAACTATTTGGAATGATTACATGAATTAAGATGTGTGGCCTTGTTGGAGGAAGTATGTCACTGTGGGTGAGTTTTGAGGCTTCAAAAGTCTATGCCAGGACCAGGTTGTCTTTCTCTTGGCCTATGGATCAGGCTGTGCAGCTCTCAGCTCTAGTACCATGCTTGCCACCATGATGCCTAACTCCCTGAAACTGTAAGCAAGTCCCCAATTAAATGCTTTCTTTGTAAGGGTCACTGTGGTCATGTTGTCTCTTCACAGCATTAGGACAGCAACTAAGAAGTTGGTAGCAGGAGTGGGGTTTTCTGTGACAACCCTGCCTTTGCTGCTTGTTGACGGAATGTGGACCTTGGGAATTTGAGTTAGGAAAGTTGAGTATTTTAAGCAGGTTTAAGGGGCCATCCTAGCAGGGATGTGAAAGACAATGGTGCTGAGAGCAACATAAATTGTGCTGGTACAGCTCATAAGGTTTCAGAAGGGAAGCTAGGTGTGTGTCAGGGGTGTCTCTGCATAGAGGTCCAGAGATGCCATTGTGTGAAGCTGTGAAGGTGAAGCCTACATTGCCTTGGAGACCCCAAAATGTTAGAGATGTCAGAGCTCTGGGATACCTGCCAAGGAGAGCTGCAGGTTGAGTGTAGAACCAAGAGAAAGAAGTATGTTGTTGTCCACAAAGCTGAAAGGAGTTGAAAATCAATGTGGAATTTGTCCTCTTGGTTTTCAATCTTGCTTTGGTCCAGTATGTCCTCCACTTTGGAATGATAATGTACATTCTATGCCATAGTATGTTGGAAGTATGTGATCTTCTTTTTTATTTTGGTTTTACAGGGGATTACAGTTAGGAGATTGCCTTGAATCTCAGACTTTGGACTTCAAACAATGTTGAGACTATTATAGACTATGGGGACCTTTGAAGTTGGACAGAATACATTTTTGCAGTGTGGTACAGCTACAAGCCTATGTGGTCAGGGAGTGGAATGTGGTGTTTTGAATAAGAATGCTCTCCATAGTGTCATAGATTTGAATGCTTGGTCACTAGGTTGTGGAACTATTTAGAAGAACTAGGATTAGGAGGTGTAGCCTTTTTTGGAGGAAATATGTCACTGGGGGTAGGCTTTGAGGTTTCAAAGCTAGGCCCAATTCCTTTGTTCTCTCTCTTCTCTCTCTTCCTGTTGATGAGGATATAGCTCTCAAGTACTTCTGCAGCATCTGACTGCTACCATTCTCCCCACCACGATGATCTAAGCTTCTAAAACTGTAAGCCCAACCGAGTGCTTTCCTTTATAGGAGCAATAGAACAGTGTCTGACACTTGGTGTGCCTGGTGTCTGTAAATACATGATAGGGTTCAGCAGCTCTGTGAGATCACCCTTGTAGAATTACCATGCAATCAGTTCTTGTAACCGTGTGTGGCACCACACGTGTTTTGAGCACGCTTGGTAAAGTGCTGTGGTAACCTTTTATAGGCTAAAACCTGGTCTAGCAGGGTTCGTGGTCTAGTAGGAAGAGCATCATGTGAAATGAGTGTAATAAAATTCATGGTAACTGCTCTGGGTACAGAGACCAAGTGGATACAGTGTAGAAAAGAAATGCTATTTGCAGGGCAGCAAGTGTTCACTGAGGTACAGTTGACTTGGTTTTGCCATTTCTCTTCAACTGTTATTGTTGCTCCAGTGCTTTGGGTGTGAAGTTTAGATCTGTGAGGAGTTAGCAAGTGCTCTGTGGTGTTCTCTAGTGTCACCTCCCAGCTGAATTCTCACCTCCCACCCCCTATGCTGTTCTCTTCTCTTTAAAAACTATCTTGGGTAGGGAAGAGGGAGGGTGGGAGTGGAAGGGGAGGAGGGAGAGAGGTACAGGGGGGATACAAAGTGAATAAACTGTAATTAATAAAAATAAAAAAACATTATGAAAAACCTTAAAAAAAGATAACATAGGAGAGTTGCTATTTTGTGACTTATGAAATTAGGTAGTTTGATTATAATGAGTGGAAAGCGACTATCAGAACCTCATCTTCAGATAAAGGTACAAGCAATAGTACCTTTTTCCCTTAAGAATAAGATTTTTAATTAATTAGAGTCTACCACAGAGGGCTTCTGAAAGACTCTACTTAGCAGTGTATCAAAGCAGATGCTGAGACTCATAACCAAACCTTGGGCAGAGTGCAGGGAATCATATGAAAGAAGGGGAGTTAGTAAGATCTGGAGAAGACAGGAGCTCCACAAGGACCAAATATATCTGGGCACAGGGGTCTTTTATGAGACTGATACTCCAACCAAGGACCATGCATGGATATAACCTAGAACCCCTGCTCATATGGAGCCCATGGCAGCTCAGTATCCAAGAAAGGTACCCTAGTTATGGGAACAGGGACTGTTTCTGACATGAACTCAGTGCCTGCTCTTTGACTTCCCCACCCCCGAGGGAGGAGCAGCCCTGCTAGGCTACAGAGGAGGACATTTTAGCCAGTCCGGAAGATACCTGATGGAAGGGGAGGAGGAACTCCCCTATCAGTGGATTTAGAGAGGAGCAGGGAGGAAATGAGGGAGGGAGGGTGGGATTGGGAGGGAATGAAGGAGGGGGCTACAGCTGTAATACAAAGTAAATAAACTGTAATTAATATAAAAAAATAAAAATAATAAAGAATAAAAACATTAAATACAATAGAACAGTAAATTGTTAAGTGGATACATGACCTTCATCTATAAAATTAAGTAATTTTTGAATGAGTCTATAATATTAAAATATTAGCTGAGTGTGATGGTGCACAAGTATAATCCCAACACTTGGGGAGGCAGAGGCAAGCAGATCTCTGTAAGTCTGAAGCCAGCCTGGTCTACAAAGTGAGTCCAGGTCAGCCAAGGCTGCACAGAGAAACCCTCTCTCTCTCTCTCTCTCTTTCTCTCTCTCTCTCTCTCTCTCTCTCTCACACACACACACACACACACAAGATATTAGAGAGCCACCCAGATGTCCCCCACTTCATTTATAGATTTTAGATATTTTTTCTTAATAAATTACTGTTTTATGAAACGTGTTTGGGTTGGGTAAAGTTATTCATAAACCTACATTTCTCCCAAATGTTCACCTGCTGAAGTCAAAATAAAAGGGGGGATCCAGGTTGCCATAATGGTAGAACCATCTCTTCTGGTTCTTTATTAAAATATAGAAATGAAAAAAAAAAAAAACTATCCTGGGGCTGGAGAGATGGCTCAGCAACTAAAAGCAGAGAACCCAAGTTCCGTCCTCATCGCCCGCTCATCAGAGGGTTCACAGCCAGGGCATACAACACTCTCTCCTGGCCTCTGTGGGCACTAGTCTATCTGTACACCTAGAGACAGACACATAAATTAAAATAAATCTTAAGGCACACAGAATGGTTACATGCCACCCACCTTAAAACACTGAGTTTCAGAAAAATCACCAAGATAGAAGAACTCTGGCTTTTTAATTTTTATTATAAGGATATATTTGTGTTTGTGTGTGAGTATGTGCACAAGTGTGCAGGTTCCTTGAAGGCAGGAAGTGGGCATCCAGTCCTCTGGGCTGGAGTCACAGAATCTTGTAAGTGTTGGAACTAAGCTGAGGTCATCTGAACAAACACTACATGATTTTAAATGCTGAGCTGTCTCTCCAGCATCTTCTTTAAATTAAATATTATAGACCCATATGCAGTTATAGGAAACAATCCAAAGAGATATTGTGTGTGTTTCCTTCAGTGGTCGTACCCTGCAAAATTATATTAGTCAGGGTCCTCTAGAGTAATAGAACTTATAGAATGAATCTCCCTTTATGTAGAGAAAAGGGATTTATTAGAACGACTTATGGGCTGTGGTCCAGCTAGTTCTACAATGGCTGTCTACCAACAGAAAGTTCAAGAGTATAGTAGTTATTCAGTCCATGAGGCTGGCTGTCTCAGCTAGTCATTATACACCAGAATCCTGGGAAAGTAGGCACTAATGCCAGTGAAGGAATGACCTGCTAACTAGAGCAAGAGCAGGCTAAGAGAGAAAGCTTCCACCTTCTATGTTCTTTTTATGGGCTGCCAGCAAAAGTGTGTGGCCCAGACTAAAGTTGGATCTTCCCACCTCAAAAGATCTGGATTAGAAGTGGGTCTTCACACTTCAAATGATTTACTTAAGGAAAAAAAAAATACTTCATAGGTATGCCTAGCCATTTGGGTTTTACTTAATTCCGGATGTAGTCAAATTGACAACCAAGAATAGCTTTCATAGTAGTACAATATCAAAATAAGTAAAATTAACATTTATGCAATTTACCTATCTTTTCATGAATTTTATGTGCACTCATTTGTATGTGTATGTTTAGTTTGATGTTATTTTATCATTTATAGATTCATGCATGTTCCACCAAAGTCAAGACCCAGGACAATTACCAAAAGCATACCTGGTACTGCCATGTTAGCATCACACCAACCTCTGTCTCTTTCCTCCCAACTCCTGGAAAACATCAGCACAAATTATATAATATGGAATGTTTCAAATTCAGCGTAATTTTCTCAAGGTTTAGTCAAGTTGTGTGTCAACAATATGCTCCCTTTTGTTCCTGAGTGGTATTTCATTGTATGTATGTCCCGCCACTCAGCGAAGAATTAGACTTGTTTCCAGTTTGTGACACACACACACACACACACACACACACACACATCCCAAATCCTTGGCGGTTATGTGTCAAGCATCTTCTGATCACTAGATCTTGAAAATAAAAATGGGTAAAACCAGTGTGTATGAGAGCTTGTGTGATGGCTGCATCAGAAGTAACACTGCTAATTTAGAATTCACTGTGGAATGTCTTATTATACTGGACAGGATCAGAAAATGGCTCATCAAAGATTAATTCTGTGAGTGGAATTAAGGACAAGTTAAAATGGTAAAGGCAGCAGAGATTTGTTGAATATGAATGGAAGTTAATGATGTGAATCAAGAAATTGAGGTGTCTAGAGTCCTTGGCTACCACATGTAGGAGCTGAGAAGGGTCTTGTGACCCACTTACTGGTTAACACACAAGTAAGAAACAAGTTTGGATGTTTCTAAGTCTAAAAGTAAAAGTTGAGTAACACACTGTGAAGTAGCCACACTAACTGCAGGGTTTTCTGACCTTAAACTAATTGCAGCCTTCGGATTCACATCACTCCTAACATGTTCAGACGGGAACCATCTTCCTTCCTCCTGCTTTAAAGGGAAGCTGTTTTATATCAGTTTCTGGAATATGGAATAGGAACTTGTCCTCAGGCTTGACACCAGGGAAAACCTTGTCTACAGAGCAGTTTCAGAAGAGGCCTGATAGGCTGGAGTTACCTTTGGACACCACAAAGGTTCTCTGTTCTGTGCCACACAGTCTTCCTTGAGTTTCTGAAGCAGATTTCATTTTTTATTTATATAAATTGTTGTAAAATTAATTCCTACCTTCAGAGTATAAGATGTGAAAAATATGTAACTGTTCTATACTGCCCATTTTAGGAGCATACTTGAACATTCTAAAATATTTATATTTTTAGCCAGGTGTGGTAGTGTGAGCCTTTAATCCCAGCACATGGGAAGCAGAAGCAGGTGGATCTCTGTGAGTTCCAGGCCATCCTGATCTATATGGTGGGTCCCAGGACAGCCAGGGATATGGAGAGAGAGACAGACAGACAGAGTCAGAGACAGAGAGACAGACACAGAGAAAGAGAGGCTTTGTCTCAAAAAAAAAAAAATAAAAAAAAAATAAAATGATATGTTTATATATTTTTAAGTGTTAATTTAATTTTACCAATTTTGATTTGGTATTATAGATGAATACCAAATTGCTTTAAAATACATTTTGTGTTGTTTTAAAAATTCCTTAATAGTTTATTTTTCTCATCAAGCAAATAATTTTAATATTTTAAGTTTTAAAAATATATTACCTTTTTCTATGAGTGAATGGAGTATAATGAAGTAACATACAGAAAAATATTTTTAAGATGAGCCAGCAGAAAAAGAAATAAAAAGTGACAGAAAGAATTAACAATTATGATAATTTGTAGGCTTTTAATTCTGACATTTGTTTTTGTTTCATCTTAACATTTTATATCTTAAGTTTTTTTTTTTTTTCCAATAAAAAGGGCACCAAGATTTTGTGTTACTCATTCGTCTTCAACAAAAAATGCTAGTGCTGAACTGAAATTCTGGCGCCTTCGTCAAGAGAAACCAAGGAAGGATATTGACCCTTTCCCACAGATAGCAACCCTCCTGCCATTAAGACCAAAGTCTTGCATTCCACAGACCCCTGAGGTCCAGGTAGGGTGGCCAATGGGTAACTTCCTCTCTGTTAACTGTCAAAGTCAAAGTCTATTCGTGGGTCTTTGCCAGCTGCTGTAGTTTGAATGTGAACTATAGCCCATGGCTTACATGTTTGAGTACTTTGTCCCCAGTTGGGGCACTGTTTGGGAAGGCTGTGGAACCTTTAGGGATGGGGCCATATTAGAGGAAATATATCACTGGGGCTAGATCTTGAGGCCTTATAGCCAGGCTCCACTTCCTGTTGACATGCTGCTTCCTGAAGGTGGAGGCAGCATGATCAGCAGCTTCCTGTTCCTGCTTCTATGCTTTCCTTGCCTGCTGCTATGATGGACTGTGTCACTGGAACTGTGAGACAAAATACATCCTTCCCTCTTACATTGCTTTTATTAGCGTAATTTATCAGAGCAATGGGAAAGTACAGCAGCTTTATCGCATTTATCACAAGTGTGTTGTTACAGTGTATACACCACCACATGTAAAAAAAAGGGGGAAGGCCCCTGATGGTTCTTAAGTCATCCTTCCGAGGTGTGCAACCATGCCCCTCATTTGTCTGCTGGAAATTCTGCAATGGCCTCCTCTTCCACTTAGGATGTAATCTGAAAATTGTGCACAGCTGTACAGGTCCCTGCCAGCCTTTCCACCTCATTTGGCCCTATTCTCCTTTGGCCACCTGCTTCCTTTGCTTTTCTGTGAACATCACATGAGGCCATAGGGCTGGACACTTTCAGTTCCCTGTGCTTGATGTACCTTATTTCCCATGCCCTTTAGATGGCAGGGCAGCTCAGCCATCGCTTACTGCCAGAGGCTGTCTTCAGCTGGTCCACAGCATCTCCCCTATATAGGGCAGTCTGCCACCTCCCATCATTATCTGTGCTCTTTGCCCTGCCTTGCTTTGCCTTTTTGTCTTAACAGCCACATGATCCACCTGTTTATTGCCTTTTACCTCCTCCTAGAAGAGAAGGGAATTTTCTGTGCTGAGTTCACAGCCCTAGAGCAGCCTAGCCTAGCATAGTTGCTGTGTAAATATAATAGAAATTGAGCAGGTAAGCTGAGAGCAGCATAGCTGAACCAGAGGCAGGGAGCTTTGGGCTCACTGTGAAGAGTAAAAAAGGCAAAAAGTGGAGGAGAAAGTCTGGTAGGAGAAAGTAATAATAGGCATTAGTAAGTAACCTTATAGATTGTCAGGGTGAAGCAGTAACTGTAGGTGTGGTCCGAGATCCTTGAAAAGTTTCACTGCCTTAAAGGGTATCACAGAATATTCTGTTATTGGTCCCAGTCAAACAACACTGCCCCAAGATTGCTTCAGAAGCGCAGCGCGTCACTCCAAAAGCAGCACGGTGTGTGACACAGGTTAAAAGGTTCGCTTCCACTCACAGCAGTTTAGAGCTGCCACCAGTTTTCTTTCTCTGTGGTTTCAGAATTCCAGGCACACATTAGAAATCTCCCCAGGTGCTTTTAAAGTATACCATTACCAAGGTCTCTACTTCATAGATTGGCTTAACTGACCTGGAAAAGGCTGGGGTCACTCTCAAATCAATGAATTGGCTTAGAACCTACATCCCCAACCCCACATGAATATTAGAACCATGGATTAGAATCTGTATTTTAATAAAATTCCAGATGATATATGTGTTCGGCAGTGATGCTGGCAGGTAGCTTTTAGCATCATTTGAGGAGCTGTGCAGACAGAGACCCCACGGTCTCAACAGAGATCAGGGTTCTGTGGAGTTGCTGTAGAAATCAAACATTTAAATTTCTTTTTTAAAAAATTTATTTATTGTTTTATTAATTACAGTTTATTCACTTTTTATCCCTGCTGTAGCCCCCTCCCTGAACCCCTCCCAATCACACCATCCCTCCCTCTTCTCCTCCCATGCCCCTCCCCCAGTCCACTGATAGGAGAGGTCCTCCTTCCCTTCTAGCTGACCCTAGTTTATCAGGTCTCATCAGGACTGGCTGCATTGTCCTCCTCTGTGGGCTGGTAAGGCTGTTCCCCCATGAGGGGAATTTCTAATTCCTTCTCTCCAGTGATGTTCTTGCCACTAGAGAAGACCATGCTTTTCATTATTTTCTTACCCATTTCATTGTTTTCTTACCCATTATTTTGACTTTCCTGATCTGCTGTGTGCCTTGAGGCCCTAGCACACTCCAGTGCACCAAGTGCCTATTCAGCCCATGCAGCCTGGGCTCACCAGCACGACAGCTGATGATTCTTATAAACACTATCAAGCTGAGCAAGTTGTGAAGGAGAAAAAAAATAAGTGACACAATTAAGAGAAGGATCTCCAATAAGTGAGCAGTGCCCAAGCATGGGGAGAGTTCAGCTAGTATGAAAAGTACCGTAGACCAAATTTGCCTGTCCCTTCTCTGGGCTCCTCTTGAGGTGAGCACATGGTGTGTTCTGCCTAGACAGTCTGTTCTGGCCCTGCTCTATGTGCTCTGTCACCACTTGGCAGAAAACACCCAGAGCTGCTGGACTTTCATAGCCAGTAAAACACGGCCTTTTTAATGGGTATACAAATTGGGCACATGTATACCCACAGCACCAACACACTCACAGTGAAGGGCATTTCCTCTTCAACTTTAGTGTGGCTTCCTACTTTCCTGCCACCGTTCATTCTGACTATTCTTTTTTATTTAAATTACATGTTTGTTTAGTGTGTATATGCGCATGTGTGTGTAAGCATTACCACAGAATGTGTGTGAGGTGCTGTATCAGAGACAATCTTTCTTTCCTTCCACTATGTGGGTTCCTGGGTCCAAACTCAGGCTGTCAAGCTTAGCAATAAACATCCCTACATGCTGAGCCATCTCTCACTGTTCTTATGGTTTTCAGTCAAGCAACAAAGTTCAAGCTCAAAGACTGGAACTTACGGGCCAGAGTGATGGCTCTGATTTTAAGACCCTGCAGAACTGGGCTTGTTTCCCAGCATCTACCTGCGGTGGCTCACCAATACCTAACACTCCAGTTCCAGGGCGTCTCTTCCAGTCTCTGTGTGCACTTACAGAAGAACACACACTCCAACATCCAAAGACTCTCCCTAACGGGATTTCCCTGTATTATACATTTGAAATATTTTTTTTTATTTAATTTTAAGTGAGTAGAGGTTAGAGAGATGGCACAGTGGTCAAGAGCACTTGCTGTCCTTCCGGAGGGCCTGAGTTCAGTTCTCAGGTGTGTATATCAGGTAGCTTGTAACCGTCAGTAACTCCAGCTCGAGGTTCCGTCCACCTCGGAGCATGTACACCCCCGGCACACACGCTCACACATGCTCACAACTTTAAAAATAATGTATAGGCCAGGCATGATGTTGCTCGCCTTACATCCCAGCACTAGGGAACGCAGGTCTCTGTGAGTTTGAGAACAGCCTGGTCTACAAACTGAGTTCTAAAGCCAGGTTTACTACCCTGCATCCAGTAAAGAAATAAATTAAGAAGAAGAAAGCATTTGTTGTTGCTTAGGGCAGGAGTCACAACCATATGCTCACCAACCATGCACTACACCACTGGCTACACAGCTGGCCTAAAAGCATTTTTTTTAAATTATTGTGACTAAGAAGCATAAATACATACTTTCTCATCGTTTGAGTGTTTAGTACAGCAGCTTTAAATACATGCGCATTGTTTTGTGGCTCCAGAATATTTTTTATTTTGAAAATGATTCCATAGCATGGGGACTAAGCCACTTCCCTCCTCTACCTCAGAGGTTGAAAGCCATTTAACTATGATTGTACAATATATGTTTAATATAAGCCCAGCCCCTTGTAGTATTTCTCACTAATAGTTGCTTAATACTTAAAACTGCATGTGTTTGTTTGAGACAAGGACTTGCTGTGTCGCCCAAGCTAGCCTTGAACTTGTGACCTTCTTACCTCATTTCTCACGTGCCTGAGTTACAACAGGCACCACACACCTAATCTTAACCTGAAGCTACACCAATGAAATGTTGGTTCTTCTCCTGCCTGGGGCTATCTCCCTGAAGCTCAAGAAGTCAGAAGGGGCAGTAAATGAGAAGCGAGAGGTGTGCCAAACAGCATATGGCTAATTCAACTTTAATTCCAGAGAATTATGTACACCTATCCTAGGCACTTCAAGGATGCTTGATTTGCATTATACTGCACACTCAGTACCTAATTAACATATAGTCTGGGGAGGGGAGAGCTAGCAGTGAGCTGTGTCAGAGGCCAAATATCAAATGTGGTTAGGAGAGTCTATTTCTAAAGACACTCTCCAGATGAACTCAGGCAGATAGCAGGGGACCCTGCCAAGGGGAGGGCGTCCTGCCTTTAATGCCATAATGGCTATCTGGACCAGGCAAGAACTACAACCCCAACCAGCAGAGTACCTCCAGCAATGAAGTGCAGCTTTGCTCATTTCCTAAGCACCATTCTCTTTCCCATCCCTGACTGTTTTTCCCTTTTGCAATAAGTCCCCTCTCCTCCCCACTCTCTACTCTTTCTTCAGGGGCTCTCTTCTTGGAGAGCTCCCAACTGCTCTTGGTGCAAGTCCCATCTTATACTTCTGTTGAAGAAATATGTTTTCATTTTGCATGTATGTGTATTTTATTTGCATGTGCACCTTTATGCCTATAGATACCAGAAGGGGGCTTTTGCATCCCCTGGGACTGGGATTACAGATAGTTGTGAGCCACCATGTAGGTGCTGGGAATTGAACTTGGGCCCTCTGGAAGAGTAGCCAATTAAAAGTAGCTCCTAAATGTTGAGCCATCTCTCCTTGCTCCTACCATTAGAAACTTTTAAGAATGGGAAAAATTACTATAAACATAAAATGTCCGTAAAAGGTAAGAAACAGAACTATTAAGTTATAGACCCCTTGCTAAGGACTAAGCAAGCATCTTTCTCTTATTTGCCTACCCACCACTTTCTGATGTTCTCCCACACAAGTTTAAACCTGTTCTGTTTCAGAAGAAAGGATTGCTTCCAAGTTCTTTCCCAGGAAAGAGTCTGCTTCCATGGTGCTGGAAGTAAGAACCTAACAAAAGCCTTTGACTCCTCTTTTCTTATTACCTAAATTACTGTTGTATTTCACTCTGCTTGTCTTATAAAACCTGCATGTCTGAGGGAAGCATTTCTATTTTAGTGGGATATTTAGTAGGAAGGAGAGTGAGGGTTGAAATCTACAGACCAAAACAAGCTTGAGATAAACATGCAGAGCTCTATTCTCCTTTTTCATTTTGTTGATTTTCCATTTTATTATCTTTTCACTTTTTAGGGAGAAGAAATCGGTTTATTTCAGCCATCTAAATCTCCTAAGAAATTATCAAAAGTAATCCAAGAGACTAAAAAATTTGGGAGAAGTGAGTCTTTGCATCCAGTTTCTTATAAAGATAATGGATTTGAGAAAGGGTAGGTGCAGTTTTTTTGAATGTTAAGTTCATTGGTTTTTAGTATTAATTCTTAGGAGTCAGTACTGTATATTAGGAGCTTATGAGTGAATCTAAGATAGAAGAATCCCAGACATTGATACACTTAAAGAGATGATATTGTTATGCCCAGATCTTAAGGTCCTCAAAGACCACCAGGAACAAGAGCAAAGAGATTTATTCAGGCATAAGCTCAGTCTCTTCATCATCACCAACACAGTGGATCAGAGAGGAGAGCCCCAAGCAGCCACACTGTAGGGTTTTTATTTGCAAGAACTGGGATTCCCAGTTTAGCAGTTACAAGATTGAATGACATTCAGCAAGAGCAAGCTTGTTACAGAGTGATTGGCTAACTAACATAACTAACATTGAGTGAGCTATCTATAGATATCAGGAATGTTAGGTTAATGGTCTGCCCAGCACCTGATGCCCTGCCTGAGATAAGATATCTTCCCATTCTTGTGGTTACCTCCAGGCTATTCCTTGGGTAGGGAATTTTATGATTTTCTTTTTCCTGGAATTGGTGACCTATGGCCTAGTTCCTGGGACGGATGACTTTTGGAGGAGAAGGTCAGGCCTGATCCTTTCAGTGTCTCTGTGTCCAGCCACAGTCAGAACTGAGAAGGTGGCCTCCTAACACTCATTTGGCTCTGTGCTAGTCCACATCTCCAGCTTGAAAACTCCTAACACCCTGAATAGCACGCCACTTTTTAACACGGTGCAGTCTCTCTACTTTGTGTTTCCTCACTCTATAGTGTTTTGTGTTTCCAGTGGGATCTTTTTTCTTTATTCTGAATAATATTCTATGATCTTAGGTTTGGACAATTCTTTGTTTAGTAATTTATTACTTCACATTTATTCTTTTTTTTTTTACTTGAAGTAAAATCTATATAAGAATAAAGTTGGCAAATTAAATAATATTAAGTTTGTACAGTCTGATTTTCAGTGTATTTGGAAAGTCAACTACCACCACTATATAATTCCTGAACATTTAAACTAATATTGATTGATTGATTGATTGATTGATTGATTGGGTGAGTGTGTATGTATAGGCATGTGTGTCTGTGACATGGCACACATGTGGATATCAGAAGACAACTTGGAAACAATAAGTTCTTTCCTTCCATTATGTTGGTCTGAGAGAGCAAACTCAAGTTGTCAGACCTGGTGGCAAGGTTCTTACCTGCTGAGCTAGCTTGCTGGCCTAATTCCTGAGCATTTTATGATGTCAAAAAGAAGGCCTGTGTCCCTTAGCAGCCACTCCATATTCCTTCCCCAGCCACTAGCAACCCCTGTCCTACTTTACAGCTTCTGCCCTGTGTGTGTTTTATATAAATGGAATCAAAACAATCTCTGGACTCTTGTATCTGGTGGTCTGTGTTCGTAATGGTTTCAAGGTCCTTCATGTTCTTCATTTTCATTCTCAGGTATTTTCACAGGGTCTGGACCTAGATGTTGGTAGTTGCTCCTTTTCAGCACTTTGAAGATAGTGTCCAGTCCTGGCTCCCACTGCTTCTGTTCTTCTGAGTATATGTCTCTTCTTCCATTGCTGTCACAAACAATTTCCAGGTGGCTAGTCTTTCTTTTTCTAGAGCTCACACATATGTACATATGAAGATAATTTCAGAAGTATTAAGTTCTTCAAGGAACTATACAACCATCTCTGTTAAGAGTTGTAACAATTTATTACCCTTCTAATATATGTGACTGCATCATTCCTATGACACTGTCACCAACATGATCTGTGTTACCTTTGGTGTGCAGGTAGACTTTAGAAAGGGATTTATCTTCATTGAAGTTGAACTTTGCAATGAGAGCCACTTTACCTTAGCTTTTGTCAATGTTGTGCTTGGAAACAGGAAAAATAAAAGTGGAGGCGGGAGCTGATCAGTTCAGCTATGGACAAAGCCTATGTGAATGGTACAGCAAATCACCTAATAGAATATGTGGCGCATGCTCTATATTTAATTAGTATTGAATGAATGAATATAGTTTAAAGTCCTCTTGAGGGTGGACACACTTTGTGTATTAGGTTCCAGTTCTTCTCATCCTTGCCAACAAAAGTTGGCAAAAGTATCAAAAATGTCAGTGTTAGCTGGGCCGTGGTGGCACACACCTTTAATCCCAGCACTTGGGAGGCAGAGGCAGGAAGAGATCTCTGTGCATTTGAGACCAGCCTGATCTACAGAGTGAGTTCCAGGATAACCAGGGCTATGCAGAGAAACCCTGTCTCAAAAAAACAAAAAGCAAATAAACAAAAAAAAAAGTCAATGTTACCATAATAAAAATCTAATACTACATCAGGTCCACTTGTGATATTTATGATTCTGAACAATGGAAATAAAGATTTTGAGCCCAGAAAAGCACATGAGAAAAACTAAGTTATCGAGCTTCTGGTAGGTAAAGTGGGTTAGAAAATGGAAGAGACGCAGGGCGTTCAGACCCAGAGCAGCATGGTGTCCTTGAAGACAAAGGGGGGTGTGCCTAAGTGAAAGAGTGTAAAGTGGGTGAGCAAAGTGCTTAATTTTACATGACAGTGTGATTGACTAACAATGAATATTGACTTCACAACCCCAAGACCAGAGAGTCTTGGAAAAATATTTTGAAGATGAACTAATTAGTATAGATCACCTTTGTTTTCTCTTTTTATTTTGGGAAAGGTATAGTCTGCATGTTATTGTCAGAATGAAAACTGGGTCTGATGGAGAGGCCTGTGATCCCAGCTGTTTGAGAAGCTAAGCAGGAGGATTACAAGGTCAGGGCCAGTCTGGGATGCCCAGCTTTCAAGACAGGCCTGGCCTGCAGACTGAGACCTTGTGTTGAAATAAAGAGCAAAAAGAAGAGCTGAGAAGATGGCCCAGTGATTTAAGAGCATGTGGTCCTTTTGCTAGGGGCCCTGGGTTCGGTTCCCCACACCACATGGCAGCCCCTAACTATAACTTCCACTCAAGGGGAACTGGTACCCTCTTGTGCCCACCTCAGACACCAGGCATGCATGTGGTACACATCATGTAGGCAAACACCCATGCACATAAAATTTTTTAAATAAATAGAAGAAAAACAGGTCGGCATATATCTTTTTTATTACCCTGTTTGCTTTGTGTGCATGGGATGCTGTGTTCAGTCTTCCATGTTAAGGTCAGGGTCTGGGAGTGTTGAGGAACTATAGTATAAGAAACAGGGTAGTGACAATCACTGCTGCTGGCAATGGCAAATCTTCCATAATTCTGTCAGCCCAATAAAGTCATATAAATGGAATCATTAAAGTGCAATTTTTAAAAAGATTTATTTATTATGTATATAATAATCTGCCTGCATGTACACCTGCACACCAGAAGAGGGCACCAGATATCATTATAGATGGTTGTAAGCCACCATGTGGTTGCTAGGAATCAAACTCAGGACCTTTGGAAGAGCAGCCAATTCCTCTGAGTGCAATCTTTTGAACTTGACTTTGAAACTTGGCATGATTCCCATGAGAGCCATTCAAGTTATTACATTACTTATAGACTAACATTTCATAGATTATTCTTTTTAAAATTTGCACCTATCTGGGCATGGTGGTACATGCCTATAACATTCAGGATGCTGAGGCAGAGGATAGTGAGTTTTAAGCCAATGTGGGCTACATAGTAAGGCCTTGTCTTAAACATTAAAAATGAGATATAAAGATAGAAATAAGAGTAACCATTCAAAGTTGCACAACTCCTAGTTGTTTCAGCTGCTGACCTGGGGTGAAGATGGAATCTGGACCAGGGCCTGGGCTGCTCCCAACTTTGATTAGAGGAGTTGACAGTAGTCAATACAGAGATGCAGAGATGATCAAAATGCAGAGAACAAAAGCCTGAAAGCTGAGCCCTAAAGGAGATGTCTTTATCGCATCTGCCTCTCCAAACTCAGAGAACTCCATGAAGAAAAGGCAGAAGGCTTTGAAGAGCTGAGGGTCAGGAGGAGGGCTGTGAAATGCGATCATCTGGGTATAACATGCCATGGCCAATGCACTCATTAACTCACACCAGTGGTTACACACTGTCACACAATCAAGGCAGCTGACGCTCCCCACATGGACAGAGAAGATCATCTGTGTCATCCTTCACTGAGGAGCTATTGTCTGGAGATGCTGCTGGGGGAGGGAAAATAATCTTCTTTGAAGGTATAGCACTGGTAGGTCTGGAAGGCCCCACAGCCATGTACAATAGTAGGGCAGTGTTAGCTGGACTTAGCAAGAAAAATAGAAGACTGAGTTAGCAGGGGAAGGAGAACTTGGGGAAAGTGGACAGAGATAAAGGGAGGTTTATATTTCATTGTATATAATGATTAATTCACCTCCAAAATTATCATATATATTTGTTATTTTCAGATTTGTTTGAGTACAATAAAAACATTTTGTGTACTTATTATTTAAAAGAAGAAAAGAAAAAGAAAAAGAATAGCATGCCGTGTGTGGTAGGGTACATCTTTAATCCCAGCACTCTGGAGGAAAAGGCAGGTGGATCTCCGTGAGCTGGAGATGAGCCTGCTGCAGTGTACATAGTGAGTTTCAGGCCAACCAAGAGTACACAGTCAAAAGAAAAACAAACAACAACAACAAAATCTTAAAAAGAAATAAGAGTGTAAAGTCACTGGATGTGGAGAGTAAGGTTGAAATTTTTATTTTTAAATATTTTGTTTTTTTTAAGGATAGTCTGAATGAGAATGTTTTATTTTTGTTCTGTCCATTTTTAGTGTACAGAAATAGCTGATTTTGTACATTTAGCTTCTACCCAATGCCCTAAATAAACTCAATTATTAACGTTAGTGGGAATTTTTTTCCCTGTAGATTTGGTATAATACCTGAGAGTAAAGATCATTTAACATTTTTTTTCCCCAATCAGGACACCTTTGTTTCTTTCCTCACTTTCCTGCCTGGGAGAGACTCTTTAGTCCGCATGATACTGAATAGAAGTGAAGAAAATAGAAGGCCTTGCTCTGTCACAGTTTTAGGGGCAGTATCTATGTTTTCACCCTAAGTCTGATGCTAACTATGTGTTTCTCATCCAGTCTTTAACATTTTGAGGGAGTCCTTTGATGCTGGATAGATTGACAATACTCAGATTCACTAACTGATCAGTTTGTTCTTATGCCTATAATTTAGGTCAAAGTGGTTACCAGAGGCCACCACAGTGGTCCGTTTGACATCTTTTACTGACATCTCTGAATGTCTGAAGCCCCAGCTGGACAGAAAATATACTTATACAGAAGAACTTAATGTGAGTATTTTAAGGACTGAAAACTATGTTCCTCATTTAATCAACCACCATTACTAATTTTAGAATTTTAAGCTTACTATTTTTTTCCTCCACTAAGCAACACATTTTGGTTTTTAGTTGCAAAGGAATTTTCCCACCAAATCTTCACCTATGTTTTTCTTTTGTTGTTGTTGTTTGTTTGTTTGTTCGTTTGGTTGGTTGGTTGATTTTTTTGGTAGTATTGACTGCTCAGCCCTGCATTAATCACTCTTTTCAAAAACAGTTGTTATGGCCTAGGTTGATGACACATCAGATATAAAATAAGACCCTTTAGTATTCTTGTTCCGTTTTTTAACAATTAAAATAACACTGGATGCTATTTCTTAGAAATCTTCACTTTTTTATGAAGATACGAGTTTCCAGATTGTGGCTACTTTGACAACAAGCATGTAATGCAGGGTTTATTAAACAAAGACTTAGATGAAAATCTCTTCTCCTTTGAGAATTTTACTATCAGAATCCTTAGCAGTTTTTATATTATCTAAACATTTAATTATTTTTTGTGCAGATCTTTTAAGTAAATACTTCTCATTTTATACTAATCAGGGCTTTTTTCCTACTAAAATAAGGATATTTTAGTTTCAAATGTTGTTAAACATTAAGAAAAATCATCATATTCTCATCTCAGAATTTGTTTAGCAAGCAGAGACAGTGTGATAAAGAGAGTATAAGCCTTGAGAAATTGCCAGCTATCTTTTTTTCAAGGATGGTGTTATGGTTGCTGACATTGTTGCCATAGATGCCACAAGCAGCAGAGTTTTATGAGACCGTCCATTACTGTTCCCACTCCAAAGGCCATGACCTGCAGGGCGAGGTGAAACTGTCCACAGAGGGGACGCCCCTGAACAAGCAGCACTGAGAAGCCTCAGAGATGGTTCTTTTTATAACCTGCTTGTAGCTAGAATAGAAGCACCTCAAGGCTAAAATAACAGTCAATATGCAGGAGATAGGCCACCAACAGAGACTTGGAAGGTGACCAAAATGTGAAGGGAATTGAGGTCAGGGGTTGCTCTAAATATCGGGCTTAGAATCAGATCAGTTTGAATGACTTCTGCTGCCATAATTGGAGCTTCATAAATGAATATACATGACAGATGCAAACACATTGCATTAATACATATATTCTACAAAAATAAAATTACAGCCAGCAGAATTTACAAGACCAGCTTGAACAATGCTATAAAGAATCACATTATATTCAGGCAGATAACGAACTTGTTTTGTTATCTAGGTTAAAACTGTGTCAGATGTTGGAGCTTTGAGAGGATATGACATGGAAAACTTGTTACAATCTTTGTATGTAGAAAATAGAGCTGGATTCTTCTTTACTAAGTTCTGCGAGAATTCGGGAAACAAGGTAGAAAATAATTATTTTAAATATTTATTTCTTACTTTACTTGATTTGAAAATAGTAATGTTGAAATAACTTGGTACTCAAATAAGTATATCTGATGTTCAAATTCTCATCTGATAAATTTAAATCCATACTTGATATTTAGTAAATCTTTAACCATCCAACTGAATTGTAATTCTCTTTGTTTTACTGACCTACACTAATTAGAAAGGAAAGTGAAAAATAGATAAATATTGATATACCTTACTGGCTAGAGTTAATGATATTGTTTAATCGTAGTTTAATATGCCATATCTAGTTCATTTCTATTAATACTTAATTTTTAATAATTCTAACAACCATAAATTATAATGAATAGAAATATTTCCAATAATGTTTTTAAAATCATAATCAATATTTGTATGACCCAAATGAGCAGTGACTAATTGGCTCAGTAGTTAAAATTTAGTTCTACTGTCATACTCAATTTACCCATATGTTGATATAGCAGAATACCTTCAGATGTGCTTTTATTCCACAAATCCATGCTCTTTACATTTCAACTAGAACACTTGAAATTTTTGTATTCATTACGATTTTTAAACATTTACTACTTTAATGACCAACTTTATTGGAGGGTTATATGCAAAAATACAATGTTCCACTGACAACAGCAATAAGTCTCCTATATTTTGTCAGTTTGTGACGAAAGATTGAGACTAGCTTAAGTTGGATCTGATTTGTGGTAGCAGCAAGGAAGTAAGTGCTTATGTGGACTTATGGAAGTAGCGCTCTGAGGGACCCATGGCCTGACTGGGCGGTGATTTCCCTACTTCTCCATCTGCAGCTGTGGAAGCACAGTGTGTACTTTTGGTTTGACCTACAGTCTTATCATCAGCTATTCTACCAAGAAACGCTTCAGCCTTTTAAAGTGTGCAAGCAAGCACAAGTAAGTAGCAGGTACCACTGCTCCCTGCAAAGCTGTAAGTACACAGGAAAATACAAATTGTGCCTGGCCCCAGGCAACAGACAGCGAGCGGGCTTGCTGGCATCAGACATATAGTGTCCCAGGAACACTTTATGTAAATGTCAGCAGAGTATATTGTTTTATAACCTGATTTGTGAGTTTTCCATTTTATCTATTTTTATTTGGTTTGCTTTATTTTCTTTTCCTGTCAACTATTTGTCCTTCCAATAAAGAATGCCTTGTCTCTTTCCCATGCCTAACAAACCTTTTGCGTTTCCCTGGAGGGGTTGGAAAGCACCTGAGAGGGCATGTGCAGTGGCTCGGTGCCGTGACCAGTTCCCTGAGCTTCCTGTCAGCTGGGTGTGCCCAGCTGCTGGCAAATCACCGTGCGTGTACAGCCCGTGTAGGTGCCTAGGCTTCCATGCTACCTATGAGAGACACTCAGAGGGCAGAGGACAGGCCATTTCAAGACCACCCTGAAACAAACTAAGGAAGGAACAACCACAAAAGCAAAATAGGAAGAACAGAAGATCCTCTGCAAAAAAAGGACAAAGAGTAGCTGCTTGCCGGGATGGTAGCAGAAGGTGACGATGAGAACAGAATTATGACTTGAACTAACTTTTTGGGTTTTTATTCTTAGGTCCTTCAGATCTTTTATGGAGACAGGTCTCCAAGACTAGAGAGCTATGGGCCACTTCTCTATCTGTTGATCACTTAGTGATTCTTATAACTGCAAATAACCCATCCCAGAGGATCCAACCCCCAAAAGCTGCCCAGAGAATTAGTTTCATCACATTATTTATTATTTTATAATCTTTCTCAGGACACCAGAGTGTACTGCTGGATGTCTGGCCCGCTGCTCCAGCCCACCACCACCACTGCAGCTTGAGTAACTGCTTTGTATCTCAGTGATAGCTTTGTACTCTTTGCCGTGAGAATAAGGACTCCAGCTCCTACGTAGCCCAGATGTCTCCATGAAATCATGAAATAAATCTCTAATTTACCAGTGCCGTTTTCTGAGACCACACAGCTCTGCTTGTTAATCCTTTACCTGTAACTCACTGTTTACTCCCCTCCCCTGACCTACTGCCCCATGTGCTGCAGTACCATCTGTTATTTTTATTATGTTTTCACTGCACAAAGACTGCTCCTCCAAAGAAATCTTCAGCTGCTCAGTGAAGAGGGAGTGTGTGTGTGTGTGTGTGTGTGTGTGTGTGTGTGTGTTAATAATTAACCAGATTTCCATGTACATATGAAGGAGGAAATTCTGTTTGGGCTTTGTAAGCTTATTGGCTTGTAGCAATGCTTTTATCCAGCTAACTGTGTGGTTCAGAAACTGGACCATTTGGGTTGTCCAGAAATGGATTGCTCTGTTTGGAGATTGCCAATACCTAAACACTTTCCCCAAGGTCTGCTTTTGGGGAGTCAGGGCAGGGATGGGAGGAGTGGATCCATGTAGAATACTCTATTTACCTTTAGGACTGAATAGGAACAAATGAAAAAAACAAATCCATGTGATATTTGTACCTGTAGCTGTTTCACTTTTTTATCCTTGGTTGGAGGAACAACTGTCTGAACTAGTTTGGGTTTTATTACCCAAAGTTTTTGTTCTTCTAGATAGAGGAATTGTCTATGATGTCATTGTATTATCCATTTGTTTGTTTCACAGTATGAAATATCACTAATTTAATGACACTAGAAATATTGCATAGCTTTTATCAAAGATTCATTTATGATACAGCTCTTTGGAATGACAATGCCACCAAAGGCACTGCATGTTGAATGCACTACAAACTTGATTTTATATCATTTCATGTGTCTGCCAAGTTAAATACTAAGAGACAAAAAACTGATACCAAAGGACCTATGTGACTTTCTATAGACATAGTCTTATTCTCCCAAGTAGTAGCATAGGAATGTTAAAGTAAATAGGGACAGTCAATAGTAAGGAGTACCATGACGCATAAGCCCAAAAGCTTGGACTAGTGTCTTGGGTGCACCTTGAGGACTTCTCTACAGGGCTTCAGGAGAACACAGTGAACAGTTAAACACCAAAGCTGGTCTTTGGATTGTGCAGGTGCTTTCTCTGCCTGTAGGTGGCTGCGCAGCACTGGTGGGATTTGTAGGCTGGATATGCATCTTCATATTGCATGTTTTAGTGAGAGGACTAACAACAGAGCAAAGCTCTGCCTTTTAAGTCTTTCTAAGAAACTTTAAGTTGCAAAAAAACTGCATTTAAAATGTACCACCATCTCTAGCATAAACATTGATATTTTTAAACATAAACATGTATTTATATTAGATATGCTTATAAGTATACATGTATGTTTAGAGTCTAGAGGCAATTGTACCTGGGAGAGTGGAGCTGATAAAGGAGGCACACTAAGTCTCATGCAGTAGCCAACTTTATTCAGAGCATCAGACAGTTTATACTCTGAGGGTTAAGAAGAGCCACATGAGTAAAGCGTATAATCACAAGATCAAGCTACACATGGCAGGCAAGCTGCATGTGCTAGGCAAGCCACATGCCACAAAAATATGTTTTTTTCATTGAGGCATGTAAGCAAATAAAAAAAAGCCAGTTATAATGAATAATCCATAATAAACTCACACTGGGAAGGGCACAAAAGCATAATCTAAAAAAAAAAAAAAAAAAAAAAAAATCTGTGTTTTTAAAGAAACTGAGGTCACAAAACTCTTGGTTTCTTGGAATTTTCTCCCAAGCATTCAGAAGTCTCTTTACACAGCTTCATTCATAAACTGTGCTCCAACAGCTTCCTCTTTTTTATTTTTTAATAGCAGAGTATCCAGAATCTTTTGATTTAAAATGTTGCCAGTGCCATTTGATACATGATTATCCTATAAGCAAGCAAATTATTGACCTAAGTGAATAATACTAGAACAGTGAAAGCTATGTGTAACACTTCACCACCAGGAACAGGGGTCCAAACTGTGCCCAGTACTATTGGTCACATAATTGTATTGATCAGGAAGATCGAGACAATTGCTGGAAAAGAGACCCATTGAATTAGTAGCTCAGGTAGCTTGCAAAACATAAGCAATGGGGGTGCAAATGTTATGATGTCCTGTGAAATAGGAAGTGATTCAAATCAGATGACTAAATGAGTCTATTATGATTCCAAGGTCCAGACATACACACAGAGCCATTAGTAAAGAAGACAGGAGCTGGACCTACCCAGCTGCAGCTGAAGCAGAGGAGGATGAGGAATGTAACACACAGGCTCAGAGGCACTCACTGCAGAAAGACAGATCAAAGCAGCCAGCATTGCCAAAAAGAAACTCTCAGGTGACATGGGGCTCAGTGTGTTTTGTAGAATAACTTCTCTCTTGGTGCATAGGGCCTTAAATTTACCCCAGGTAGGCAGCTTGATTGATAATATGGTCAACATTCCTTTTGCTCTTTAGCTGAAGGTCTGCTATCTTCTTGGTGACTTCCACTATCTTCTTGCCCTTAGCCATTGACCTTGATGGCTGTGGGGGCTGGAGGAGCTGAAGAGGAACCCACAATGTTTCAGTGGATCCATCTGCAATGACAGATGCATGCTTCTTCTCAATTTTCTTCTGGAGAAGTAAAAATGAGGCAGCTTGCTTATTTCCTTCTGCAATAAAACCAGGGAGGTTAGAGTATACACAAATATGAATCTGTTCCTGGAAATAATCCTACAACATTAAGCAGAATCTGAAACAATATTTGAGCTTTTATGAACTAACTATAGTAGGTGAATCAAAACAGCCAGTTCTACTAGGCTGAAGAAAAAGAAGTATTAATAAATGGATAAATATATGGACCATGAATCCTTTCTATACCCTTAGATGAGCCATCAATTAAGTATCTGCCTGTGGAATGGAAAATGGTTGAATGGATGGAATGGAAAAATATTTGTTGTATGAGGAAATCCCATAGCTTGCCATCTGAATAATGATTTCCTAGCCTTATACAGTAATCTGCAAATGAAATTTGAGAATCCCTAAGCTCCTGTAATTCTCTTAAAAACTGATTGTTAAAGGTAATATAATACAGCAAGGATCAAATCCAGATAACTGTTGACATAGGGTCCTCCCCTGGTTTACTAATTGAACAAACTAGTATTTTCTGGCCTTTATGGTGTGAATAGATCTATTCCAAAGGCTTATCAACTTAGTGGAGGAAATAAGTTTAAAGGCAGTGGGGGTCCACACAATACACAAACACTTCTTTCAGTCTGCATTCAAACAGCTATAGTTCTTTTCTTGAGTCTTGAGGTAATAGTAGAGGACTGGCCAACACCATCTTTCCTTCCAGAATTCTAAATAGGTTGTTTTAGTGCATTGGTTAGCAAACCTCATGAGGTGAAGGAGGTATTGGGGATCAAATTCCTCTTCCCTGATGTGCCCTCACTTGCCTAGGTTGTAAAGGTAGCATTTCCATAGGTTCTCCTAAGTCCTTGTCAGGAAGTGGAGGGAATTCAAAATTAAATTGGTTATCAAGTCCCTCACTTCATGCTTCAGGGTCATTTTTAGGCAATGAAGGATGTGTATCTAAAGGAGGCTGAAGTTGTCTCTGGCACGGTCAATGGCACTGTTTTTACTTTCAATTTTACTGGAACAGGGAAAATCCCCTTTTTTTGCCTCTTTTACCAACTTAAGGTTTGATCACCCAGTTTATCTTCATTCAAGGGATTAGTCATTTCTTCTTCATGATTAATATCCTCTTTACCTTCCTTTAAAGGTCTGAATTAATGCCCAAGTGACCCAAAATTGAATGGGGGGATCTTTTCCCCTTGTTTATGAAGAGTTTAAGTTAGCCTGAGTATAACTCCATTTTGAAATAAAGATCCATCTTGACTGGGAGCTGAATTCAGGTACCAGGAAATATCACAGAATGTATACTTGGCAGAAAACAAAGTTAACTCTCTTAGCAACAGCCTCCAGGAAATATTACAAAATAAATACTTTATAGAAAATAGAGACAATCTCCTTGG